TCTTCATGAGAGCAAAACATGTTGTACTTTACATTATTGCATAAAAACTAAAATGGTAATGAAAACATGAGGTCAGGCAGAAAATCTCTTTCACAAGGAGACTTTTCTGAGTTAAAACCACAACTGACAACAAGATCGGTCATTTTCACTTATTTATATGATCACCATAAGTCTCGTCTATGGGAATAAAACACTTATCAAAGCAACCATACAACAGCTTATGAAAAACACCATGTCAAATGACCGGTCAAACATCAATGATGGCTGACATACAAGACTGTAATCATGTATATAATCTTGTGTTTTTCCATTTTAATTAAACAATATAAAATCTAGAGGTTAGCTTATTACAAATATTTGATCTCACACAATGGAAATATATGCATTCAAGTAACAATGAACATCAAAATTAATGCAACTCCAGGAGGCTGGGGTAGAAGGGTTATAAGTTGGAGAACAGCCTAAGCAACTTATCCTATTGCAAAATAAAATAAAGAGCTGTAAATGTAGCTCAGTGATAAGAGTACTTTCCTAGCAGCCGCAATACCCTGAGTTCAATTCCTCATATTGCAAAAACAAAACAAATAACAATAAAAAAGCAATTCCAACCAAAAATTCTTCAACGAGATTGACAGAAATAATCTGTCCAAATCATGGTTACTAAAACACCAATAATAAGAAGGAAAAAAATCTTAAATATGATTGTATTCTTTTATCTCCCATAACTTCTTATGCTTAGTTATAGTCTGTCATCTTGTATCAGCAAGCCACTGGGCCTGAAACTAGAGGCCCTCTTTCCTGGTAGGGTCCCATAAAGACCAGGGAGTCTCTCTCCTCATCACTCTCTCTTTCTAATATTTATAATCATCTTTCACATAATATGTTTCTTTAAAGCTGATTTATCACTACTACACGTAAAAGAACATTTTTTTATTTTCTAAAGAGATAAAAAACAAAACAGCAAGAAAAAAGAAAAAAGCAGTGGAAAAAACTGGACTTCTTAAGAAAAAATATAGACTGGAAATAGTAAAATTTAGTAACAACAGTAAAATAAAGTATTAAATGTAATTTGATTATAATTCCAAAAGCATTGATTACAACTACAAAAACAATTTCTGGAAAGTCACTAAAAGATTACAAATACTACATAATGGAGAGGTAGAGGAAAGGAAAGAAGATAACCATGTTAATGTCAAAACTAATCATGTCTAACTTCATGGAAGTATATAAATTCTTTCGTAGAACCAGACTTTGGTCAGAAAAAAGACTTTACAAAGAGACCAAAGCCAATTTCTTCAAAGAATGCCTAAATTTAGTGTTATTTCCAGTCTAATTCCCAATAAGAATTTTCTCTGAAATTTAATTCTATGATTTTAAGGTGCTTGTGAAATGTTTAGTTTGGTATAACAACAGCCTTCGGGGCACAGTCTCCAATAGCTAATGAAAAAAGCCACGCAGAAACAGAAGAGACAAAGATGGGCATAGCCAAGCAACCTGGCACACACCTGTAATCTTAGCACTCAGGAGGCTGAGGAAGGAGCATAACAAGTTTAAGGCCAGCCTAGGCCACACAGCAAGAATCTGTCTTAAAAAATAATAATAATAAAAAGGCACAGGCATAAAAATCATTGAAAGAGCTTCCTTCTTCCTCCCTAGCCCCAACTCTGCCACAATCTGGTTGAGAAACAGCTTTTGTGGTGGGGCAAAAGGTGGCGGGGTTATTGGGGATCGAACTTGGAACCTTGCACTTGGAAGGCAGGCAGCAAAACCACTGAGCTAAATCCCCAGCCTGAGAAACAGCTTTTCTATGAACCAGAAAACCATACAAACATCGGATTCTGACCTATAGCTGAAGAAACATATTTTATCCTAATTCACCTGAATATTTTCTAACTTCACCACAGTGAAAGAAAAAGTCAATTTAAAAATTTTAAATGCTCGAATAAACTTGGTTTTAAAGAAATGACATTACCCCTGTGAGTCTCAGTCTTTCATATTTAAAAAGGGTTTTCAACTAAAAGGTCTTTTAGCCATCCTTCCCCTAATATATCAACAGAAAATACAGTGACTTCATACACTTACCAAGCATGTACTATGATTTTAGTTTTATGCTTAATTATTCAGTGTGGCATGCAAATATAGAAAAGGAGTGCATGATCTAATGGGGAGTTAGGAATAAAAATGTCTTCCATACAATTATAAATATGATAGAAATTCGGAGAAGGAGAACATGGTAGGGAGGGAACACTTAACAGGACTTGAACTAGAACTCAAACATAGAAGAAATTTGAAACCCCAGAGAAGAAATGGAAAAAATACTTCTAGTCAAAATATTATATAATGAAGTCTAAAGTATAAAAAATGTTAAATACCAAAGCTAGAATGCGTGATTACTGCACACATAGGCTGGGAAGGAAAAAAAAAAACACTGAAGTACGAGGCCAAATGTTTATGCTAAAAAATAAGCTGCAATAGGATATTATAGCATTATGGCTAAGGGCTGCCAGTGAACATTTGAAACTCTAGACCTGTATCCAAGCAGACTTAATTAAAGCTTTATTTGACATCATTAGTGAGAATAACGTTTCCAATAAATGATGATCTTTATTTGCCTTTTGAGAAATTGAACACAGTAGAGGTAAAATGCCTGGTCAAACTTCCACAGCCACTTCTGGCAAGGAGGAGAAAGCAGTAGTAGCAAAGAATTTAGAGATCATATCACACCTGGCTCTTCTGACTCTGTAACCTGAATACTCATTCTGCATTCTTTTAGTTTAACCCAGCAATAATAATTAAACTACAAAAACACTACCCAAGAATGAGGTTTGCTGAAAAGAAGAAGGAAACAGAGTTATGAGTTAATATATAATTAACATGGTAGAGAGGACCAGGGTTGCCACTGAGGCCGAATGGGAGGAAAGAAGGCATCTTAGTTTCTGAGTGAAATACTGCTGCAGCTTTATCCAAATCCAGTATCTCTTATTCATTGGAAAAAAAAATAATTTTCTTTATAAATAAATATATTCAGCCAAGAAAGCTTCTACCAAAAACAATTTTAGTCCTAAAGATAATAAAAACTGGGAGGAAAGTTGTTTTTTCAGAGCTTATAATTTCAAATTTCTAAATGTAAATGTCATATTTGCAAGCAATAATTCTAAAATTCAAATAAAATTATAATGAAATTATTTCATAGTCTATCTTTTTAATGTATATTACAACAGAAAATTCTTCAATTGAATAATCAGAATTTATTATATACTAATTATGGAAAATGCTAGTGGTGGTGTCAGAATTTAATAGTTCATAACCATGATCTTGAAAAACCTATGAAAAAAAGGAAGCTTCCTACATAGGTACAGGTACCTAAAATACAATATTACATACTACTATTGCACTTAGGCATTATAATGTACACTATAGAAATTTAATTTTCATTCATTATAATTTCAGTCATTGGACCCTGAATTTGTCAGTTACATGTGGACCAAAAATTAAAAATTAACAATAAGCATCTGCTAAGAAGGTATATATTTGCACTTCTTTGGGTAAGGTGACTCTTAAAAGTCTTGAACATGATGCACATATAAATTAAGTATTTCAAGTAAATGCCCTCATCACTCACTCCACTGTCAAACTATACACAAAAGCTGTGGTGAATTTTGGAATAGTGAAAGACCCTGGTTTTGAGGAGCACAGAGACAAGCTGGCTCATGTACCCACCAGTGTGGATCTGTTTTTTTGCACATAAATTGCTGCTTGTGGAGCTAAAGAGAACAGCTCTTGGATGGATATATGGGCTGCTAGAACAATTACTCAACCACAGAGAAATATCTGACTACCTCACGTGGCCCTGCTGGCAAGATGTTTTTCCTATTCTAAATCCTTCCAGGTAAATTTGATGCAAAACATCTGGTTGAACTTAAAAAAACATCTGGTGGACACTACAAAAGCCAATTTCAAGATTTTAAATTATTTTTCAGACACAAAATAACTATTACCCCTGTTAAGTACATAGCAATTATATGATAGTTTTTTTCTCATAAAATTTAAGGACACAACTTCTTTTTTAAAAATTCAGGATTTTTCTAAACATGGTTTTATTTTATTAAGATGCAGGCTTTAGATTAACAATGCAAATATAGATTAAATAATGCAAATACAAATGACTCATCAAATTTCAATATTAATATTACATATCCAACCTCTTATCTGGGAAGATAACTCATCCTGATCAGATATTATAGGTACTAATGAAAAATTCTACATATGGTTCTGAAATGTGCAATAAAATAGGCTAAACAAACAGAACTGAATTGACCTAGGAATCTATGAGCTTTAGAGAAACTTGTGTTTCTATACATTGGCTGAGATTTTCAACTCTTAAACATAATCTGAGCTCCTAAAGAGTTTATCGGGATCTTGCCTTTTATATTAATGACCTTGAAAAATTACTTACTGAGAAATCATGTCTCAGTTCTCTCATTTTTGATACATTTTATAACTGTAATATTAAGATATGAATTTTCTTCATTTTAAATGCAAAATGGTCCTATTTAAAATCTAAGCTGCTTAAACATATGATCATTTGCAATTCTGTATCAGTTTACATAATAAAGTCTGGAAATAAGTGCAAACCTTATGAATAAGTATAATATATGCTCTATAAGTAATTGATCTCTAAATGAGACCCATGAAATGCTAAAAGAAATCCTTTTTTATTTTAATGAAAATAATACACCAAATATACCATTTTCTTATTATCTCATATGGCTCTCATCTTTAATTTACAAAGGATATCCTGATAGAAATATTAAATAATAACAACTAATAGTCCCAATTGATCATAGATCCTTCTATAATAATTCATACTTCACATTATTTGTATTACTGATATTACACTACAACGTTACTCAGCATTTCTTAGTAAGATCCCTCGCCATTATTTCACAAAACTTCTAGAGAACCCTGACTCAGGTCTTTTAATAAGTTATATCACTTACTGCAAAGACCCCACTTTCACTGCCACGGGAATGTGGGGGAGCTGAGTAGCCCATTTCAGTGTCACATCCTGATAAATGTGCAACATGTTGTTATGGTTTCCAATCAAAGTATTTACTGTTCCCTCAGAAACTGGAAGTTAAAGATACAATAAAAAAATGATCACTTGAAACAGCAAATTACATCTATTTTAGGGGATCTGAAACACAAAGTAATTCTGATATCTTGATTTTAATATACAGAAACTTTAAAGTACTAAGTTATTATTAAATTTCAAGCTACTAATGTCAGAAAGAACTCATTTAGCAGACATCAAATATACAAATAATGGCCAACATGTTCGCATTTTACCTAAAGAGTATGAATTTCACTAACATGTGACACATTTATGTTAGTAATTGCACATTCACTATGGATGAGTCATTCTACTGGCCATTACTATTTTGTTTATAAGAGCTGGTATTCTCCAAGAAGCTTCTTGAATAGTGACATTATGAAAGCACTAGTGTATGCTAGAAGCTAATTCCATAAGTCAGGAGAGTAAAATGACTGACAAAACCAAATGTGTGCTTTCTAGTAAACCTTTATACCAACGCTGAAAGTTAAAATCTCCGTTGCATCTTCAATATAAAAATATTTTCCTAGATGGTTAAAATACATATACAAGTGTGGCATTTTATGATACATATATTAGAGCCTAGACATATGGAAAAGATAAAATCTTTCTACATACCTGAGCAATATGGAAGAAAACAACTTGGGCTACAATCAAGCTTCTTCATGAATCGAATTTGTCCATTATCCTTAAGGCAAAAGAAGTTTCTCTCACCAAGAACAAAAATAGAAGATGCTGACTGATTAAAAGACACAATACATATATCGAGGGCTTGCTCTCCAATATTCAGAGTCCAATCCACCTGCAGACCAAAACCAAGATCAAGTTAGTTGCTAAAAACAGAACATTTCAGTCATTTTCAGATCAATATAAATTAAGAAAATGTTTCGCATCAAAGCAGAGATATAAAGATTGACTAATTTCCTTCATTTAATTGGGTTTGTGTGTTATTATCCTACTTCTGTTTTTTTATAGACTTTAGGTTGTTTTGCACCATCTCTTATTAGATGATATTACACTGATATTCCACAATTTAAAATGTCCATTAAAAAGTTATCTTCCTCCTGAAAACATTCTGTACAAAAGCTACTGGGGGTGAAGAAAGGATGTCACTCTTACAAGAGTAAGAAATTCCAGAGTGCTACTGTACAGTAGAGTGACTACAGATAATAAAGTGTATGTTTCAAAAAGCCAAAAATAAAAGAATTTTATCATCATAAATGATATTTGAGGCAATAGATCTATTTAACCTAATTTAACTATATACAACTTATACCTGTACCAAAACATCTGATTTTCCATTAATAGGTACAATTTTATGTATGCTTAAAAATACATTTTAATACTATTATTTTGCAAATCAAATTTGTCAAAATATGTCGCTAGTATTTTTATCAATGTAACACTTTGAAAAAAGATAACCTTAAAACATATTGACACATAGTTATACAGGGTCGTTAACAAGCTACTGCAGTAGTACAAACAGAATCCTCTACACATAAGCACTGCTCCAGTATCTCCATACCTCTGAAACATGGTCAAGATGCAATAAATGTTTTTCAAATGATGAAGACATGAATGCAAAGTGAACATGTGAAAAGAAAGATTTTAAGAATTTATTTTCAAAGTTATTAATAATATTTGTAAATCAAGAAAATGCAAAAGAACAAAGATGTATTATGTTGAAAATCATGTATGTTATATATGGCAATGGCAGTGAGACAGCTCCAGAAATATTACTACTATTAAAGAAGAATAAGACCATCCTCAAAGTTAGGCTTTAATCAACAAGTAACTGGCACCACAAAGAGGCAAAAGTATTGCTACACACATCATTCTGCTGACTGCTAGCTGGTTCCTTCAACACAAAGATTACTACCAGATGATGCAGCTGACTGGGACCAAGGCCAATGTCCTAGAGAAGTCTGGAAGAGTTGGCTGCTTCAAAAAAACACCACATGAACCAGCATTCTAGACACAAGAAAAGCCTATGGCTGGTGTGGGGGCCTGAGGATTTAGCTCAGTGGTGCTGCCGCCTGACTCGCAAGAGCAAGGACCTGAATTCGATCCTCAGTACCAAAGAAACAAACAAAATAGTGTGGGGTTTTACTCTGAGAGTGACTTCATGGCAGGATAGAGCTGGAGAAAAAAGAAAAATCAAGTCCAGGACCTGCCATATTACCAGAAAGAGTTTAACTGGGCACTATCTGGGAAAGAGGTTGATTGTGTGGAACTGAGCCACAGAATACCTATACTACAGTTTTACTTCAGGACTGAAGTGCTACATGTGAGAGACATTCATGGGAGACACAGGTAGAGAGGGTGAGGGCTACACAGACACAGATCCCCTGAGAAGTCCAATCTCAGCCAGGAAAGACACGGGACCTGCATTCTGTGATAGGAGGCCAGGTTCAACAGGTGTGGTTTTCAGAAGACTGGATTTGAAGGCAAGGCAATGAGTCCAGCAGGCTACTTGAGCCCCCACCCAGAGGCCTACATCCAGCAGAGACCACTGGTTTGACTGCTTCTCCATGTACCAAAGGGATGAGGGGCGTGACACGGCTTAGACAGTTACCACGGTCTGAGACTTACACATAGAGGAGCAGCAGAGTCACCTCAAAGTCACAGGCTATAAAGTGAGGTAGAGAGGACTATGACTAGCTGAATTCTAATTACCAGTCCTAGAAGGAAATCACTCATTTGGAAATACGTAGAAATTTTTTGACTGATTTTTTTTCTCCTTTATGAGTTTTATTTTGTTTTGTTTTTCTCTGGGAGGGGCGGTATTTGAAGTTTATTTTTTGTTGTTGTTTTTCTGTTTTTCCTATTTTCTTTTGCCTTTTTAATTCTCTTTGTTTTGGTTGTTATTATGGCTTGTGTGTAGATCCCCCCCACATCACCACCATCAAACGTCTCATGCCTTTTCAGAGGGTGCTGAATCTAGAGTATGTGACTGATTCATAGTGGGACTAGGCCTGAGGACACTAGGGTTAAGGGCATGAGTGGTCTAAATAAAAGGGTTAGAAAGACACTGTTAAGACCCCTTGCTTTTGCTACCATATGGGCACCATGAACTGTTTCTCCTCAGCAAAGCCCCTCTGCCATCTGCTACTTTGTCTTGGAGCCTGCCGATTATGGACTGAAACGTCTACAAACTGTGAGCTAAATAAACCTTTCCTTCTTTAACTCTGAGTGTCGTGTATTTTGTCTCAGCAACGAGAGAAAAAAACCAACACAGTTCTCTCTTTCCCTTCTCTTGTTTTTTCTCTTTTAATTTGTCCCCCTAGTTTTCAGTTTACTATTTTTTCTTATTTTTCCTTTTTCTTGTTGTTTTCTTTGTCTATTACTTATATCTAATACTATTAATTGCCTTTTACTCAAGAGGACCCTCTATTTTGCTTTTATCACATTCTCATCTTCCACTGCTTAATTTTTCAATCTTTTTTCAGGCTTCAATTCCCCACATGCTCTATCCCTACTAGTATAACCATTAAGCTTCATGAATCTATTCACTGTTAACTATATCTTATTACTTTGAACACTATTCTATTGTTGGTGGAGGTAAAATCAATTCACTGAGATAGACGTAGACCATAGATCAATATCTAGTTTGTCTTAGTGTTTACATTATAATCTAGACCTCTTTTCTATGGAAAAGAATGATTCATTATTCTTAGGGTTTGTCACTATCATTTGGACTTCATGCCATTGTTATTGTTGATTTATTATTGTAGCCAAGGTGACACAGTTGTTACTATCAATTGAATTTCACTGTACGTCAATACCTGGACTGCCTAGAAGTCATAAACAATACTGGTGTCCATTCCTGAGGAACTGGGTACTGAGCCAAATAAGCTGCAGTATCCCCTCCCAAATAAATTGACGTGATTAGATCCTCTAACAGAGACAAAGGCCAATAGTTAGCACTCCAGAGGACTCTCTGTAAAGTAGACATTAACTAAAGAGATCTCTATACTAGAAATAAAGCTACCACTATAATCAACCCACAATCCTCACCACATAAAATGAAAAACAAACAAACAAAATAGAACATGAAAAGACAGGGCTATAAAATGTCTCCAAAAATGCCCCATATCTCCAAAGCCAATCCAGAAGGCATCAAAGGGGAGGATATCAAAAGCCACACAGCCGAGTCACCTGAAAGGTAACAGTGGAGGTAACAAAACAAACCAATAAGATGTTTGGTAAATTCAAAAAAGACCTAATTAAACAGATAATAATCCAATACAACAACCAGCAAGCCTACAGAAGACACAAATAAAAAGCTAGTGGAGCTAAAGAGTTGCAAAACATGAGTGCCCAGCATAGAAAAAAAGAATTAGAGTACATAAAAAATGCCAGATAAAACTCTAGAAGATTAAAAAAGTCCATACAAACTATGGGCAGCAGAAGTGATCAATGTGAGGACAGTGTCAGATCTACGAGACAGGGCTGTGGTTGGTAACCAATTAATGAGTGTTATCCTATAGAAACATAAAAAATAGAACAAACAGCTGCTAGATGATGTTGTGATAGTCAATCTGATTCCATCTTGGGCCTCAATGCCAGTCTGTACCTGTGCTCAAAGTGCTTGCACTTGAACAAAGCATCCCAAGCCCCCACATCCTGCTTGGCAGTAAATTTGCTGCAGTTGCAAAATGTTTTGTAGCTCACCTAGTGTGTGAAACTTCCTTATGCCCACCCCCCCACCAACCTGGTATGGTTCTGCTTCTGTAAGACTAGTCTTGCTTTCCCCTGAGCCCTCCCCATCTGAAAGCATGAATGAATTAAAAGGAAAAACCAAACCACTTCCCGTTACTGAGGAAACTTTCTGGGCGCTAGCCCCTCCTTGGCCACCAGCTATAATAAACAGTCTCAAATCTGGCACCGAGTGTGGTGCATCTCTATTGTTCTAACTCACTCATCCACAATAATGCAAAGACTAATCTAAGATTGACTGGAATAGTGAAAATCAGAAGATAGCACAAAGGTGATAAAAACCCTATTTACAAAAGTAAAAGCAGAAAACTTTCCAAATACGGAAAAAGAAGTCAACAGATACAGGTAAGTGATGAATACATAACCCCAAATATCCATGAGCAGAAAAGAACCAGTCCACAACACATCAGAGTCAAAATAACAGAAACAAAACAGAAGAACAGAATCTTAAGAGCTGTTAGAGGGAAGTAACAAATCATTTGTAAAGAAAAACCCACTGGAATTGCAGCAATTACTCAATACAGCCTTAAAGGTGAGGAGAGCATGGCATGGTTTTCCAAGCCATAGAGGAGAACAACTTCCAACCAAGATTGCTATATCCTACAAAATTATCTTTTAAAACTGATGGAGAAATAAGAAATTTCCAATGATGAAGAGTACCTAAAAAATTTCATGACCACCAAACAATATTCCAAAAAATTCTCAAGAATATCCTAGTACAAAACCATAAAGTTAACAATGCCAAAAAGTCTAAGACAATGAATGCACCAGGTACAGTGAGCACATAGTAGAAAAGAAAGACAGAGACTCAGGAGCAGGGAAAATAATACAATAATAGGAATGTCAATACCTTTAGTTATAAATAACAATGTGAATAGTCTCAATTCACTAATCAAAGGACACAGAATGAATCAAGAAACAAAATTTAATGTTTTGCTCTGCAAAAGAAACACATTCAGGGCTGGGAATTTAGCTCAGTGGTTCCACCACTTGCCTTGCTAACACAAGGACCCAAGTTCAATCCCCAGTAGGAAAACACACACACACACACACACACACACACACACACACACACACTTAATC